CTTGAACGAATATTGCTGACCCTCCCAGGTGAAGGTGAAATACTTCCGGTGTGGTTTGTAGATCTTCATCTGGTGGTAGCCCTGCTTCAGGTCATTAGTGGAGAATATCTTAGCTCCCTCCATACGCCTGAGTAGTTCGTTTATCCTTGGTAAGTGAAAATTGTGTGTCGGTATCAGAGCGTTAATAGGGCTCATATCCAAACACACCCGAACTTTCTTCAGCGTCCCGTCAGAGTTGAATCGGTCGACGGCTAAAAGCGCTAGGTTGACGGGAGTCGGCTAGTAGTTGACTGCGATCACCCCGTCATCTAACCAGGCTTTAAACTGTTCTCGTACGACCTGCTCATGACGCCATGCAACATAGTTACGTGTAGGACACTTCAGCTTCGAGAAATCTACTCTTGTCAGGTCTAGACTAATGTATCCGTTATTGAATTTGAACTTAGCCCAGTCAGTGATCTGAATCTTGTCGTTCTCAAAAATGAAGTCCTTGAGCTTCTTTGTGAAGTGAGGGATCATCTCTTTCACAGTCTTCGAAGGTTTATACACCGGTTTCAACTGGTTGTCGTCCGACTGATCCTTCTGTGGTTCAATGTTAGTAGGTAAGCCTGTAATTGTGATACCTAATACCAATAAATCACTCATACCTACTATGAGATCATAGTCAAGTGAGGTGTTACATATGACTGCCTTAGCAACTGTAGTACGTTGGTCTGTCAATGTAAACCTAAGATCGATTGCCATCTATCTACAAGTGATCTCTATTTCGTCAGCCAGTTTCAACATAGTTGGTTCTGACTTACGAGTTACGTCCGTCATTTTACAGAATCTAGAGGATATACATGAAATTTGCGAGCCCGGGTCCAACAACGCTTTTATTTCATGTCCGTTAACTCATATATCTAGGATTACACGCTCGTCTTGAGGTGTGTCCTTTTGTCGTAGTAAGACCCGGTATGTTTGTCACTTAACTTCAACCTTTGGTTGCACCTTGCATGTATGCTTGTGGTAACCTCCAGTCCCGGAACAGTCGGCACACTTCGCGATAAAGTGCTTACACTTGTCTGCGTGCTTTCCATTCCATCCGCCATCCAGCTCATGTTAGGTCATTTTCCAATTGCAATCAGTCTCACTACAGTTCTTGACCTCCTTATGCTTGGGCTTAGGGTTGCCTGCCGGCGGTCCATTTCTGGCGGTTTGGTTACCCTTAGGAATCAGAATCTAGAGGATATACATGAAATTTGCGAGCCCGGGTCCAACAACGCTTTTATTTCATGTCCGTTAACTCATATATCTAGGATTACACGCTCGTCTTGAGGTGTGTCCTTTTGTCGTAGTAAGACCCGGTATGTTTGTCACTTAACTTCAACCTTTGGTTGCACCTTGCATGTATGCTTGTGGTAACCTCCAGTCCCGGAACAGTCGGCACACTTCGCGATAAAGTGCTTACACTTGTCTGCGTGCTTTCCATTCCATCCGCCATTCAGCTCATGTTAGGTCATTTTCCAATTGCAATCAGTCTCACTACAGTTCTTGACCTCCTTATGCTTGGGCTTAGGGTTGCCTGCCGGCGGTCCATTTCTGGCGGTTTGGTTACCCTTAGGAATGACATTGTTTTTGTTGCCTTCAGAACCATTTGTATTTTTGTTATTATTGCCACCCTTGTCACCCCCTTTGTTCACCTTCTGACCTCCATTAGTAGACTGAGAGTCTCGACCATTGCCTGATCCCCCGGTGAGATTACCGCCGACCTTCTTCTGAGTATTAGTGACTTTCACCACGGAACTAGGGCGGTTGGTAAACTTCTGATCCGCTCTCGAGTAAAATTTAGTCCAGGTTAAGCCCGCTAGCTTCATTATACCGTAGGTAGGTCCCTCAATGGAGAACTCTCGTACCTTGTCCGGGTAAGATTGATGCATATCAGAGTACAGAATCTCTTGATCTCTCCTATGCAGGTTTGACCAAATGATTGTCTGCACCCATAGTACACACATGGATAGCTTGTCAGGTGACATCTCCAAAGTCTGGGCCCGTAACATGTGTGTGTCCAACTCTAATAAATAATGGGACACCGGCGTTCCTTCTTCCGGTGGTATCATGATCGATACAAGCAATTCCGGTGGAGGGTCCATCGAAAATAAGTGGATGATCATCTCACTCTGCTATTTCCACGTTTTCAGCTTAGTGATCGCTTGTTTCGCCTTCTCTAACTTGTTGTACTTGTAAGAGGACGGCTTAAAGCTCTGCTGCGCTGCTTCGAACCGTAGGTTCTTCCGTAGATTGGCAGTAATCATAATCTGTCCAAACTCTTCCAAAGACCTAGATAACAACGCCAGACTACTAGTATCGATTGGATCCTTTCGGTCCTTTTGATCAGATCTGTATGTCGATGTTTGTTTACCTATGTCCTTTACAAACTTCTTGCCTTCCACAGCCTTCTCGGTCTGAATCACTCTTAGTTCTGAATCAATCTTGGTCTGGAAGTGCGTAGCCATTGTCATATAAAGACTAGCGACATCAATCCTACCTAGATCCATCGCTTCGAGTGAAGCAGCCTAATTCTTGTTCATTTGAACAGTGAATTCAGTAATTTTCAAATCACTACTAGAGTGATCTGATCCCTTGTCAGTTGTCTGCCTCATCCTTTGATCCATCGACCTGTTATATGTGAATGAATGCTTCTGATAGGACATAAATTTGTGTTGTCGTTGGGATAGCCGGGGGCGAACTGTCTTCCGATGATGACAAAGATGTTCTAGCTTCCACCTGATCAGGTTTAGGCTCTGGTTGGGTTGTCCTTCGGAAATATCTCTGGGGCATTCCCGTGGATTGCCTTCCGGTGGTGGATTTGGTTTCGGCTCCTGTTCGGATGCCATTCGCGACATTGCTGTTGCGTCCAATCCTGGAGAAGATTGTGCTTCGGATGATGCAGATCGGATTCTGTTTGACTCTCCAGTGTCTGACAACATCTCAAATGCCAATATGGCTTGATAGAGTTCCAAATGGTTCGATATCAAGTCGGGAATGTCTCCAAGAAGATCCCGAATTGCGTACCAAATTAAGTGTGCAAAACTTCCATCTCTCCTAGTTCCGAATACCTTCGGTAGAATCTTTTGAAACTGACGGACAAGTGTGCGTGCCTGCTTACCTTCGTCAGTTTTCATTGCTACTAGCCGATTGTAATATTTAGAATCTCTAAACAAATCGAGCCCAAAATTTCTCACCGCTGCATTCATAATATACCTCGGTGAGATTGTATCATCCGGCTTGGTCTTCATTACATCCGGAAAAAAGGTTCCATACGTGTTTCAAAACAACCATGCCCGGTTGGCCCGCTGTTGGATCAACTCTCGTTGACCTTCCTCTTGGAGATCAATTTGAGTCTGGTATGGATGTCCCAGATCAAAGTTCTGTCGCCATGCCGGTCGGAGTGGTGTTTTGGGTAATCGCAAGAATTGTGAATCCAGCCCGGTGTCCGACTCGTCGTCCTGATGGTGAAGCGTATGGTCCACATCATCCGGACCTATATCCACGAAACGCAGTTGTTCCTCCGTTACGTTGATTTGGGGCTGATCCAACAGTGTTTGTGCTATTGGCACATCCTCCGAGTCATCCTCTCCTGAGTCACCATGACCTTGATCCTTCTCTGCGGCTTGCTTTTTCTTCCGCTGCTTAGTGGGTCTCAGTTCAAGTACCATTGGTTGGTAGTTCTTCAGAAAGTTTCTCATATCCCTTGCTACCATATGATAAGTAGGGTCTTGCCTATGTGCTATGCGCGATCTCCTCTAGACTGACTACGATACCAAGACGTTTACGTTAATAAGACAAGACGTTGAAACGTTTAAATGTAAATTGTTAAATAAGTTTAGCTTCAGCCCTTGGTAATGAGCAAAAGATTAGAGGATTTTAGACTGAGACTATTGTCTCTATGCTCCACTCTAATCACTCACTACTTCGGTCTAGATTTATTTTGTTTTAGTTACTAAGACTAGATATCATTTCATTGGACGCATAGTTTAAATTTCACGCCTCGAAACAATTACCCAATCAAACTAACCAATAAAATATCTATAAGTCCAACTTAAGAAAAGAAAAAAGAAAATCAAAACACCAAGTCGGTGCAGTATACATCTGCACCTTAACCCCATCACTTGGTACCTAGCTCTCCATCCCATTGAAGGCATAGACGGGCACATCTAGTTGGCTGGCTAGGATAACTCAAAATCATGTCGTCCTAAATTCTAACAACTCTGATCCTGTCCTTTTCTCAGTGGATTATCTTGCTCTGAGATCATTATCGAATTATACTATAGGTTTGTACCAACAACCATTTCATGTCTAAGACCCTCTCTCATGATACTCCTATTAATTAGAGATTCCCAAAGTGTCATTTTCAGGTGTCAGATTGGTGTCGTTCCTATATTATGTACAATTCTAATTTCAGTGGAAAAACCAATCTATATTTGGAAAGCCACCTGATTGTCCACAGTTCCAGTGATATAAGTATAAACGTTAATACAGATATACGTTTATTAAATAGGTTAACTGTGCAACTACTATTAGGAACCCGCTATTTGAACATCTCTCTCTCTCTCTCCTATCTCTCTCTGTGTATGTGTGTGTGTCTGTTTGTGTGTGTATGTGAGTGTGTGTCCCCACCTCTCCTCTCTCTCTCTCTGTTTACGCGCGCGTGTATATATATATATATATATATATATATATATATAGTGTGTGTGTGTCTCTCTCTCTCTCTTCTCTCGTGTGTGTGTTGTATGTGCGTGTGTCCTGTTTGTGTGTGTATGTGAGTGTGTGTCCCCCCCCCCCCCTCTCTCTGTTTGTATGTGTGTGTGGGGGTGGTGGGTGTCTCTATCTCTTTCTCCTCTCTCTCCCTCTCTGTGTTTGTGTGTGTGTATAGGTGTATCTCTCTCTCTCCTCTGTCTCTGTGTGTGTGCGTGTGTGGATATCAGGCTTGATTTTTCAATAAATTTTTATAAATAAAATTACTCTAATCTAGTAGCCCACTCATCCAAACAAGCTTCAATCTCGAGTTTAGCCTTATCCTCTATGTGTGCGATAGCACCGTTAGGCTGTAGACGTTCGCGAGCTCTTTGAACAAATCTAGCCAAAGTGAGAACAAAGTGTTCTTTAGAGCCCCACTCAGGTAAATCAGGATTCATTTTATTATGGTGTATACGACGCTCGTCTAATTGTTTGTCTGCTTTAGTGACGATATTTTTAAGTGTAGCATCTTGTAGTTTCCAAGTCGGTGTTGTAGCCACTTTCTTTAAGTCTGACTCCGCTATAGGGTGAGCGAGCAGTATTTCGTTCTCCTTCTGGACTCTACTACCGCCTACGTAAAGTATGTTTGGCCATAATGATTCAGCCTTTGTGCTCCACTTCATTACCATACGTTTGATTGCCTTCGTTTGACCAATAGTCATACCTTGTAAACTATGTACCGAATCAGATTTAGCAACACATATAGGTATTCCTATCCCACAGCACCTTTTACAATCGCATCGTAGTTCAGTCGCTCCTAGTATCTCATACTTCGATTTTTTATTCAAAGCATGATCAGGTGCATCGTCACTATCCTGAGATGTGATAAAAGGCTCACCTTTATAATCAATCATCTCAATAACACCCACAGGTATCTCATCTCTGTCGTAACCATTCGAATAGATTATATCTCTGATTACACCACGAGATTGCTTGGCCAAACAAACCTCAGGTACAAAGTTTACCGTAAGTTTCACTATCATTCCAACCGCCAAATATGATATCAGAGGTATTGCTGCCGCCATACCCAGACTTCTGCTACCGTTAACATTCCCAACACAGCTAGCTTTTCCGCTATAGTGCGCACGTACAACGTGAACACTATCAAAGTTACTTATATATTCGGTGTTATAGAAATCTCGGTCATTATTAAAGCATGTTGCATACAATGTACTGTCCTCCACCATACTGAATTGCTGGTGTTCATTTTGACCTACACGTTCATTGATTCTAGTAGCCCAAAACGATAAATCTCTTTTCATATTAGACTCTGCGTTTACTGTACCTGTATAACCACAACGTAGCTGCGTTAAAGCATCAATCAATGGTCCAACAGTATTTAGTCTGACGGGTTCGGTTAGTATCCAGAATTCTTTGAACTGTTGCCAAAATACTAGTCCCATGTTATCAATAGCCATATTTGTCATGGTATTGTCTAGAACTGACTTATCACATACGGTGGCAGTTGTTTGGGGTCACCAAACGTCATGATGGATGGTAGTCTACCAGCAGTGGGTAAATCACCTGTCGCGTACCTTCCTTCACTTAAAATATCTCCACATCGTTGACACATATGCCTCCAAATACGGCGACCGCACATGTAACATTCATCTACCATCAATAGTATACTATCTCTGTATCTTGATTGTGTACATGCGAAAGCTAACATACTCCCTCTTTCAGCTATCGACGAATATTCTTTTGCAGCACGACTAAATTTGAATATTCTATCCATTGTGGACCCACCAACATTGTCAGCAGCTGCTCCTGTAGGTGCGGTGATCAACGACGCAAACGGACTCCCTTTCTCAGTTTTTGCCAGTGAGTCCATAATGTTCATGACAAAGCTTTTGCCAGTACCCGCTACACCAGTTATTATCCAGCGTATCAAGGATGACTGATCGCTCAGTAAGTACTCGAGGTAAGCAGTTACTACATGACGTTGTCTATCATTGTTATAACAAAGTGTAGGATCAATATATGTGCCGTGACCAGGAAGTCCTTTACATATACTAAGTGGTTTGTCTCCATCATAGAATGATTCTCTCATTATTCACTTAAATTCCTTAATTCTTCAATTGTCCGCCCTCCCAGCCAGGCTCTCTCCACACCAGTCACACTACCAACAACAGCTTCCTAAAGTCAGTTACTACTAGCTCAGATTCCAACTCGTCACCTCCACCTCCTGCTACCAATGCTTCTTGACCACCTTCACCTAAAAAATCTATCGGCGTCTATATGTTCACCAGATCTACGTCCATCACCTACTATCGCACTTCTAGCCCGACCATCATCACTCGGGCCGATACCATCGCTTCCATATGTTGCATCACATACTGCTCTAACCACCAAATTCACAACATGCTTGGAAAGTAACTTTCCTTCAAGAGGGTACCAAAACCTGTCTATTGTAGTCTCATTGTCCCAACCCATAAACTTGTTGTCCCTCAAACTTTGATCATGTAGTAATACCATTGTTCTGCAGAACATTTCTTCTATCGGCCTTACCACAATCATAGTTCCGTGGTAGTATACTGGCACACCATTCCTACTAGAAATCTTTGACATATTATATTCATGAAAGGAATACTTCAACACATTGTTTAGTGACGAATCATCCTCGTTGCCCTCATTGTGTGCACTCTTGTCGTCTACAATCTTATCTTTCGTCAGTAGATAATTCGAGTGGACACTCGGCGCTGTCCAACATACAACGAGATACGAAGGAAGGTACGAGTGCACATATACATTTTTTCTGAGCTAATGCACATATAGCATTCTCCTGCAGATATCTTTCGTGATTTTAATATGGCCATGTTGAGACGCGTAGCTAATGATTGTAGACTGGTGCCTTCGGGCAAGTTACTTTCAAATAACTTTTTAAAGATATCTTGCGCTTCGTTTGCACTGATCTCTCTTATACATGCGTATCCGACGACATAGTCACATATCCTTTGTACGTATTTATCTCGGTTCATATAGAGCCTCGACTGTTGCAAAAAGCACTTTGCTTTGTACACGTTATCCCTGAGTTGCCGCTGTACACTTGTCTCACATCCCCGTGCGCTCTTCAACTGATCATCTGTGTCATAGTTGCCACCCCATGCGAGTGTAAGATCGCGCGATCCTTGAACTAAGCGGGGGTGGTCTCTTTTGCATTTCATCACCGCCACACCCCTCTTTATATCAATGTGCGGCACTTTTGATACTAACGTATCATCACTCCTCGCTGGTACTAGTCTATTTTCAGTGCCGAATCCAAGTCTACAAGCTCGTTTGTCAACTACCTCTCCATTCTGCAAAGTTTTAGTACCCATCTTTTGTAGACAGTACGAACTACAGCAATGTACTGACGTTCGATTCACTATATCAATTTCATGCTGCATAATATTCTCCTTCTTCACGTCGAACGTACGCCTGCTGAGACGAGCTGCCGACGGCTTCTCTGCTACCCCTTCATGTCCTGACCATTCATCAAAGTCGCCTACAAGGTCAGGAGGTACGTCATCACCTCTAAACATCTTTCGTTTGAGTATTCGATCTTCTTCAGATGCGGTTAATAAATCCATACTCGCAACCTTCATACGAGAGCGGTAATATGGAGTATCAATTTCATTATCATGTTTTCGTTTCCGACCGGAAGGATGTGCGGCTGATATACTTGTAAATACCTCTAGCAGTGTAGTAGTTGTCTTCATAATAGATTGTGTCTCTATTGCGTTTAGTCTATTGCTGACCCTACTCATATATTCGCCACTTTGGAGTTCACCGTCTTCGACTCGCATATCACATACACCTAGTGCTCCATCTAAAAGCTCGTGTATATAGTCACAGGCCTTAGTTTTCCATAGTAAAGCGTGTAAATGTATTGCTCCACGACTTTTGGCGAATTTGTATCTCGCCCAATAGTCAGATATTCTTAGTTTAGCTATCAGTACCAGCTTAAACCATGCTTTACAGCGAAGTACAAATAATCTGTTTAGTACTTGTGGATAATCTTGTAGGATAGCGTGCACATTTCTACCTTGTACACGCTCTCCAACTCCTGGACGTATTTGTTCCGCATCTTCATATCTACCCCAATGTGACAACATGTCACTGATACATTGATGTAAGTTAGCCCAATGATACTCGGTCATTGTGGCTGGTGAGAAAACTAGAGGCATCTCATCGCGAGTGTCGTGTATATGATGAACCAGAGTCTCTACCTCTTGCCTTCGGGCCCACCAATACTGTGGTTTCCCTTTTATACTTCTACTGTGTCCGGTTATTTTGTAAGCTAAAGTTCACAATGTTTGTTTACGAGTGCTGGGTTGTTCATCGTCATCTTCCACTTCTTTTTGTATAGTATTTGTAGCATTTTTAGTGCATCTACTGATACCCAAGTAATATAATAGTTCACCTTTTGTGGCTGGCACGTCCGCGCCAAACTGGTTTACTACGTGACTTGTAGAGGACAATGTCTGCACCCTAGCTTTAATATTCATTATAGAAAACTTTAGCGTACGGTGGCGTTCGTAACGTCCGTCGTATGCATTTATGATATATTCAGCCCACTGCCATAATTCAGGATTCACTGATCTTGCTGTTCCTCTCTCCCATGCGGCGGGGATATCTTTGTACGTAGATCCATCAGCTAACTATACGGCACAGGGCATAAATATGCATGGCCAGGCTTTTCCTCAGAAATGGGGGATATCTTTAAGGATAATCTGTCAGTACCAAATCATTGTTTTATAACAGCCTCTAGTCCACTCTCTACGCCTAAATGTTCACGAATACTTGCTCCAACAAGATTTGAAATCCCTGTAGATATGCTCGCGTTACGTGTATGCACACCACTGACTTCCATCTCATTAACTTGTCCTGCTGCATCTACAACCCCTACAACTACTCTCTCACTTACATCCATCTGACCGGGTGCGGGTCCGCCGTCCGACATGACTTCCTCAAATGTTGCAATATCGACTGATCTGATCTCAACATAATCATTAACTGGCAGCTGACTTAAATTTTCATTGATATGGTAATGTCATCATAAGCGGGACTATTGGCAATGAGCCAGTTTAGCACGTCGCGTACTTTATGACGCCGACAACGCAGGTCCCGGAGTTTAGAGTTTAATGGGGTTCCCGCCTGTTTGTCTTTTCAGAACCACCATCTCAATATCCGAGGGTAAACGAGGAAGGGATGATGCTATAGCGGTCAATGTGTCTGTCCGATTGTAAGATTCGGTCTATCAAGGCGATATTAACGCCTTAGAGTAATTATACGCTTAGGTTAAGTCTAAGTATCGTGAAATTTGAAGTAAGTAAACGAAACGAGTCTTTTGATAAAATTAGGTATGTCTCGTGAAAACATCAATACTCTGAGGGATTGTGAGGCTGAGACATTGCCTATATACAATCCTCTCAGTACTGTTTCCGCCGAAGGGATTTTATTTAGTGTTTCGTTGTCGCTCTATTAGAAACTATGGTATGTTTCGTTGGGGCGAATCCGAGAGACTAATAAAATCCTATCTTTAGAAGAAAATATCTTAACTTATGACTACTAGCTTGTCTCTTAAGGACTAGCTTGGACAAGAAAAAAATTTGTGGTAGTGAATCTACCTTTACGCTTAAGTAGTCTAAGTAACTAATACCTTTGCTAACTTTAAAATGTATAAGATTCGGTCTACCAAGGCGATATTAACGCCTTAAGAGTAAATAAACGCGTAGGTAAAATCTAAGTATCGTGAAAATTTTAAAGCAAATAAACGAAATGAGACTTTTAGTAAAGTTAGGTATGCCTCGTGAAAACAGCAATACTCTGAGGGATTGTGAGGCTGAGACATTGCCGATATACAATCCTCTCAGTACTGTTTCCGCCGAAGGGATTTTATTTAGTGTTTCGTTGTGGCTCTATTAGAAACTATGGTATGTTTCGTTGGGGCGAATATGAGAGACTCATAAAATCCTATCTTTAGAAGAAAATATAATAATAAAATACTCTTGATGTCCTTAGTTATTGTCTTAACCAATTACTTGCCACTTATCAAGAATTACCGACTTAGCCTTCATCAGACTGTCACATCT